TAGGGGTGTTTTTAGCAAAAAACGAATAACCCTGGAATGCACACAACATACTGAATTTCGGAACAAAATGTGCATTACTTACAGCAGCAGAATACCACAGAAATATCAGACGAAACATGAAAACACTATATATTGTATTTCAGCCTGAACCCTCTATATTGCAATTCAAGGAATTAACCCCATATGTGCATCCATTTCCCACCTTGGTATCACCCACCCCTGAAAACAAACTCTTAATACCACGCTGAAGCGTTTGGTAATAACTTCTTAAATCTTTAATTCACATAAATTATCTGATGTCTGCCATGTAAGATTTGAAAGCGGAAGAGTATAAAAACAAAAAAAATCCTAGTATGTGTATGAGGGCGCTGTTTTACTCCAACGTTCATGTGACGAACCGTTCGCCATTTTGCTCGGTCAGTACATCATGGCGGATGCTACTGCGAGATCGTTGCAGTATGAATATAAAGCGGTAAGTATTTTCCTCCGATATATTGTATTATTTTTGAATTTGCATACTTGTAAACAGATCCGATTATCTCTGTTGCGTGTAAATACCCCTGGAATTAATAAGCAAGCATGTTTGTCTCCCGATGCCTGCATGGCTCAAAGCATCATTTTGAAACGCATGGACTTGTAACAAAAGCAACAACACAGACCATGAACCTCTCTCGTTTCGATTCACTACTTCTGTGGAGCTCTATATCAGTCATATATATATAATCCTAAAATGTAATCTTGTTGATTGGTTCAATTTCAAGAGAGCTGCCTAAAAACAAAAAAAGTTTAACGTAGTACATCACTACATGTATGACTGGTATGACTTTTAATTTGTCAACATGATCGGCGTGCCGTGTTGGGCACAATATAATACAAATTTAGACATAAATACAAGCTTCTAATCCTATTCCCGTATTCTAACAAGTACTGTAAAACGCATCTTTTTAGCTAGCGTGACATTTTAGCTAATTTAGCTAACTTGTATTTTTGCTAATTCAAGATGTCGCTAATACAGTACGAAATGTATATTCTCACACTGAGATTATTGGCATTTTAGCTAAATTAAGATTTTGTTAATTCATGTATTGAGTAAATTCGCTAAAATGACATGTAGCTATTTCAATGTGTTTTACTAGACACATGACCCTGCTTTCCATATCAGTTGTACTGATTTTACATAACAGTGCAGTGGTTTATGAAACCAGTGTTCACCTTGTAGGATATCTAGAAAGAGTTCCTTTAAAGTCCCTAACTCCGAACATTAAAACTCTAACCTTATCACCCCAGCCCTCCAATGTCATTGTAAATGCCCTTCCCAGTAACTTGTCTTGAAGAGGGGCATATACAACTTAAAAGAAAATAAATTAAGGACATTCACAAAAATAAAGCCTCTTTATACTATTCGATCAATGTTTGCGTTCTAAAATTAAAACAAATAATATCTATAAGACTAAGTAATCATAATCTAGCATTAAAATTAAATTGAAAATAAGTTCCATTTTTACATGCATTGCCTTAATTATCATCCTAATTATTAAATAGGAAATTCTCAATTGGAATAGGAGATGATTTTCATATGTTTGAGTACATTTATGGAGATCATTTCTCTTTTTCATCATGTTTTTTTTTTATTGTCTTCGTGCATACTTTGCAGTATCCTTGTAATAACCTCATATTATATAAAATTATAACTGGGGTTGAAGGCTATGGTTGGAATTAGAGTTATGGTTGAGAGGGCTCTAAGGAACTCTTACCAGATATCTTTACATGCTGTTATATGTAAGAACTGTAAGTGCTTTTCTAATCATTGTTCGAACATATTTTTTCAGAACTCTAATCTCGTCTTACAAGCGGATAGATCATTGATTGATCGGCGCCCTCGCGATGAAGCCACAGGTGAGGTTATGTCCCTTACAGGACACATTGAAGGAACAAGAATGGGAGACAAGGCAAAGAGAACCAAGCCTGCCATGATTGAAGAAAAGAGAGTTAAGTAAGTTAGCAGTACAATGTTGTATTATGGGTACCAGTATATGTTCATGTCTTGCAATTAAAACATTGCTCTGCAATTGCCTGAATTGCACTAGTGGTCGAATGACTCACCCATCAATGTCACAGATTTGCTTAATGTTAATTCATGTATGTCATCATTTGAATACTGACTTTCAAACAGTAAACATCACAGCATGTTGAAAATCACACTGCCTCTTGGAAGTCGGTCTTTTATATAGAATAGAAACATTACTGGTAGTACATGTAGTTGGGAAATTATGTAAAGAAATGTATAGTGGTAAAATTTGGAAATTTAAAGACTCGTCAAAAACAATTTAAAAATAAACTTTTCTGTTAAAAAAATTGCTGTACTAAAAATACAAAAATCTGCAGAATCTCTTAGAATCAGTCATGTGTGCATGAATGAAGTTGGCTTCTTGCTTTATTTGAAATTTCTGGCAAATCCACAGAGGGGCTGTAACATGCAACACTGAATGCAAATGTTTGCACAGTGTAAATGCTGTCTATAATCTCATTAAATAATAATCCTATTATAATAATAATGTTGTCATGAGAATACCGCAAAATATGCACTCAGGCAGTACAGGTCATGTCAACCCTTGCTATGCATTGTTCTATGCGATCACTGTACTGTCTTGCATAGTGCATACTTTGTGCTATTTTCATTTTAACCTCATAATATTTACATATTGACTATTGGTTGCTAGGCGACAGAAAAGAGATGATGCTCGTCATGATATGTTGAAATTTAAAGGAGCAACATTATTATCAGAAGGCATAGAAGATATGGTCAGTATTTATTACAAACCTAAGACGCCACAGACTCGTAGTACATATGAAGCACTACTAAGTTTTATACAGGCTGCTCTTGGAGATCAGGTAAATTTATTTTCTTGGTTTGAAATCTTGTTATTGTCTTTTATTGTTAGGAAAATATCATGAGTAGACGTATAGTAGTGAAATATCATGAGTAGACGTATAGTAGTGAAATATCATGAGTACACGTATAGTAGTGAAATATCATGAGTAGACGTATAGTAGTGAAATATCATGAGTAGACGTATAGTAGTGAAATATCATGAGTACACATATAGTAGTGAAATATCATGAGTATACGTATAGTAGTGAAATATCATGAGTACACATATAGTAGTGAAATATCATGAGTATACGTATAGTAGTGAAATATCATGAGTACACATATAGTAGTGAAATATCATGAGTATACGTATAGTAGTGAAATATCATGAGTACACATATAGTAGTGAAATATCATGAGTATACGTATAGTAGTGAAATATCATGAGTATACGTATAGTAGTGAAATATCATGAGTATACGTATAGTAGTGAAATATCATGAGTATACGTATAGTAGTGAAATATCATGAGTATACGTATAGTAGTGA